TGTGCTTTGTTGTAGGCGGAGTTTCTGATCTACGACCCCCCATTTTACACAGCTGAGAAGAAAGACGTGGCCCTCACAGATCCTGTGGGAGAGTGAGTGGCCCTTTCTCCAGAGAGACCCCAGAATTCACCTGGGGTAGACCTGGGCAGGCTCCGCTTCATCCGCCCCAGAGACCCAAGGGCACAACTCATCCTGACAATGGACATGACCTGCGGCCAGAGGCCCCTCTCAAAGGAAAGGCCTGTGGTCACAGAATTGGGGTTACCAGTAGAGGCTGAGCCCCCCTGTCCCTCTGTGTCTCTGCTCTGCCATAACCTCCCTCTTATTGGGACACGTCCTCTGTCTTGCCCCCAGCATGGCAGAACCTCTGTCGAAGATCAGTTACAATGTCGTGGATGGACCAACGGACCGTCGTAGCTTCCATGGAGCCTACGTGGTAGAGGATGGGCTTCCTTTGTGAGTATGCCCAGCCTTAGCCGGCGTTAGTAAGCTGGCCTGTGGGGTGAATTCATCGCTGAGCAAGCTGGCATTTCTTTCTGGTAAAAGAAAACAAGAGAAAAAGAAACTCAATTTGTGTCACTTCCTCAGAGGCTGCTCAAGGTACAAAGCCTTTCTTTGTATCTTTCCCAAGAAGGCTCCTGTATCACCCTAGCAGGGTCCCAGGTGCATGGGTCTATTGGTACCTGGGGACTTTGACTCATGGCTGGTAAGGTGGGGACCACAGTCAGGTGGGAGGAGAGCATTCTGCTGCCAGAGTGCGTGGCTGGGGGGCCCACATTAGGGATGGTAACCCTGCCCAGCGTCTATGATGGACCGACCACTTATATGAAGACAATAAGAGACCCATAAACACCACTGTGCTTCCAGATGGGATGTGGCCAGCAGGGGGAGCAGCGGAGCAGAGGATGATGCGGGGGGGCCTGAGGGAAGTGGGAGGCAGGCAGTTTTGGGGGAATACAGAGAGTGGGCTATTGTTCCTGGAGCCAGAGGTTGGAGCAGCAGGGGAGAGGCAGCATGAAACAGACCAGGGCTCTAGCTGTGGTGTCCTCATGATGGGTCCGTGATGGATGGGGTGAAGGATGCTTGGGAAGGAATGTCAGTTGTGGGACGAGTGACCGCCATGCTGGGATGATGGGTGAATGCCTGATGTCATGACAGCTGTGTAGAAACAGACGAGCAGGAGGGACCTGACAGGGCTCAGGGTGCTCCTGCGTGTTTGTGCACATGTAGACCAGAGGGGTTGGGTCTCCCCGATCACTCTCCAACTTACTTTTTGGAGGCAGGGTCTCTCAGTGAGACCGGAGCTCAGCAGTTGGTTAAACTGGCTGGTCAGCGATCCTCCTGTCTCTGCCACCCCTGGGAGGACAGGTGTGTTCTTCCACACTCACCTTTTTTTATGTGAGCTCTGAAGATTTGAACTTAGGTCCTCCTGCTTGCGTGGCCAACACGTTTCCTAATGAGTCATCTCCCAGCCCCAATAATTTTTATACAGTAACATACTTATGTAGTTAGGACTCGAACTGGTTTTTTTAAATTATATTTTCCTGGATATAGTTTCCAGGAAATCATTGGCTATGTCTGTTTTATGTCACTTATAATAGAATACCGAGGACTAAGTAGGTTATGAAAAAAAAAAAAAAAAAAAAAGGCTGATTTTGGCTCATGGTTCTGGCCCGAGGTCAAGGGCTTGCATCCAATGATGCCTTCTTGCTGATGGAGGCAGAGGAGGTGCAGGATGTCACACGGCTAGGATTGTCTGTGTGAGCAATCACTTCCCGAAGGCCCCACCTGACCCCAGCGCCCCACGTATCTAACGCTAGGGTGGATCTGACGTGAGCTTTGGTGGGGACAAGTGCGGATGAGAAGGATATGATGCATTATCCTCTTCTCTTCTACACAGTAGTGTTTGGAGTGAGTGTTCCTCACTTGAGCCACACTGCTGAAGTGTGGAGGAGCAGGGCTCGTCTAAGGCAGAGGAGGTGCTGGGCCAGTCAGCTTTCCATCATTACAAAACACCTAGGACAACTAGCTAAGAAATAAAGAAATGCCACGGTGGCCTCAGTTTGAAAGCCTTTAGTACAGATCCAAGGTGGCCCTGGTGGCCCTGTGGGGAGGGAACCCCGTCATGGCAGGGCATGTGGAGTGGAGAATGCTGCTCACCTCATGGAGGGGAAGCAAAGGAGAAGAAAAGGAAGCTGGGGTTCCCTTGTCACCTTAAAGGGCATCCCAGTGACTGAAAGCCTCCCACCAGGCCTCACCTCCAAAGGGCTCCACCTCCCAATAGCTCTGTGCCAATACCAACCCATTGGGTGGTGTGGGAACACCAGGACCTCAGCTGAGCAGTTAGAGATGGGCGAGAGAAGAGAGGGAGGGTGTCAGGGGCATTAGGAGCTGCCGAAGGAAGCAGAGCCCATCCACAGGTGGCAGAGGTGGAGTGGTGGGCTGGGAGGGTCATATGTGGAGGAGGCTGCATACATCCTTTGGTGGTACAGGGGTGTGTCCTCCCTCTGTTTTGTGTTGAAGTCATGAGGCCCACCAATTTTTTTTTTTAAGATTTATTTATTTATTATGTATACTGCCTGCATAAGTGTTCTGCCTGCATGTATGCCTGAACACCAGAAGAGGGCGCCAGATCTCATTACAGATGGTTGTGAGCCACCATATGGTTGCTGGGAATGGAACTCAGGACCTCCAGAAGAGCAGTCAGTGCTCTTAACCTCTGAGCCATCCATCTCTCCAGCCCGCCCACCAATTCTTAGACCTGATTTGGAAAGGGGTCTGGTGGGATGAGAGGAGGGGAGGGGTCCTGGCACAGTGAGAAGCCCCTGTTCTGCCTGTAACTAGCACTCCGTACTCCAGGAGTGCAGTGAGTCCTTGTATCCACAGACTGGTCCCTTCAGCCTGGCTTCAAGTGTAGTTACCCATTTGTGACCACAAGCACCAGAGATAGGTCTCTGGGTGTTTAACCCTCTCTGTGAAGGAGGGCTGGCCGGGGTGGTTGCACACTGACCAGAAACCCTGGCTTCACTCTGTGGAGATCTCAGAGGGGCCAGGACAGGTTGGCAGGAGTTGGCACACGATCCCTGTTATGCCCATTGTGACTTGGCCCCACCTGCCCATGTCCCTGCTCAGTTTTTCCCCTAGGGCTGTCTTATTCTCTCTATCAAGTATAAAGGCTAAGCGAATCCTTTCTAACCTAGGAACCCCATGGGCCGTACGGGGTTGCGTGGACGCGGGAGCCTCAGCTGGTTTGGACCCAACCACACACTGCAGCCGGTGGTTACTCGGTGAGTCCCGTGTCTGGCTGGCATCAGCACCTTGGTTCCAAAGACACCCCCACCCCCACGTGTTCTGAGGGCCTAGAGAATGGCCTTGGTACTCGATACTTTGTGGAAGTCTGTGTGGAAGAACACAGACACATACCCTGTGCCTCACCCTCTTTGAGAAAGCCTAGGCTACCACCCCTTTTCCCCTGAAGGCTGCTGAAGTTTCTTAGGGTGCCTCCTTAGCCCTGATAGAGGGCTGATAAAAAACTGTCTAGAGCTTCTACTAAAGAGACAAAGTTACAGAAATTACAAAAAGCAAAACAAAACCAAACCCACCCACAATCCCGCTGAAATGTTAAGATCTGGGAGTTTTCCTACCGGGGGATCTGTACCTATCTACACTCTTACACACTCTTACACAGCCTTGCGTGCACACCCACATGTTCCCCTCTCAAGCCTTTTAACCACATGATGCTTCTGACCCTGGGTCCCACCTACCTTCTGGGCGGGTTCTGACTGGCTGCACTTGGGGAGTCCCCTGGGGGGGCGGGTCTTAGCCCAGACTGCGTAGAGCCAACAAGGCACTGGGCTCTCTCAGGGCCAGAGAGCTGTGGCCTTGGACAACTGGGTCAGAGGCTGGGATGGACTTCCCACCCTGTGGCTTCTGTCTCTATTCTGCCTGGGGATTAGGTGCTTAGGGAAGAAGCTGGAGGGGACAGAGAGGGGAGCCGAGAACGGGGTGGGGGTGGGGCGGGTAGGGGTGGGGGTAGGGGCTGTGAGGGAGGCAGCAGTAAGTCTGATGCCGCCTCCAGACCCAGCCAGTCCCTGCAGCTGCTCCGCACAAGGGCACCTGTGGCCCCGCAGGTGTAAGTGGGTCCCCCATGTAGGTGGAAGAGGAACCAGGGCGGAGCCATCTGCCGGAAGAGCGTCAGAAAGATGCTGGAGGTGCTGGTGATGAAGCTGCCCCACTCCGAGCACTGGGCCTTGCCGGGGGTAAGCCAGGCACTGTCTCTGTCCATCCCACTCACTGCCTGAATACCAGCCACGCACAGTCACTGGCAGGGACAGGGACAGGCCCCGCCTCCCATCGCCCTGGGTGAGCCAACAGGGTGCTGTGTCTCTCAGGAGCTCCCTCCCTGGCTTCCTCACAGGCTCACCGTCTAGTGTATCCCAGGCCAGGCTGCCCTGGGTGGCAGAGCTCAGTACTGGGACAACTCACATTGACTTAGACATGGGTTGCCTCTCCCATCAGATCCTGAGTTGGACCCTAAAGGCAGAGGGTGCTGTGTAAGGGGTAACGGTGGGGTGTTGCACAGGCCTTTGCCTCAGGAACGGTAGCTGGTTGTGAGACTGAAGTTGGATGGGCACGGCAGAGGCCCTTTGTAATGACAGAATTGGGGTGCAGAGGCCCCGGGCTATTCATGCCCATGTGACTCCATATTGCTCATTTTCTTCCCAGATCAGCTTGTCCTGCCCCGTCACCTCCAGACCCAGCTTAGAGCAGGGGTCAGAGAGCCTTGTCCTGTCAGGAGGATCAAGTCTAGCCTGACCCTGGCTGTGGCACACAGCATCTTTAATGTAGCCCATCTGGCAAGGCCTCTCCTCTGTCCCGATTCCCTGGGTCTGCGGTTTTCTCCAACTCAACAAAAAGCGGTCCTGCTCTTGAGACTTCTGTCTATCCCCATGTCCCTGTAGTGGTATGGGGCAGTGGTGTCAACCAGGGTCGTCAGGCTAGAGGCTGAATTGCAGCGCCAGGGCAGCATCCAGGCTTTCTGGGTGCTGATAGCCCAGCAGCAGGGACCAGGCAGGAGGGACCGAGGACAAACCCACAATGAGGGTACAGCGCCTGTCCCTCTCTGGTGCCAGCATGGTGGGCGGTGGTGGGAGGTTCGGTGGCCTTCATGGAGTCACAGTGGCTGCTCCTGCTCCTCTTTAGCTCCTGCGCAGGCTGTGGACTGCTGCTGACGCGGATGGTGGGTCTGGGTAGTGTCACACAGCCGGAGAGCTGACTCTTGACTGACAGACACTGCCGCCGTCAGCTTTCCAGGGGGCTGGCTGGCTGCCTACCCTGGGCAGGTGGCCAGAGGAGATGGGTTCCTGGGTTGTCCGGGATCCAGCTTGCATGCCTTGCTGATTGGCCTTCGTCTCCCCTCTGCCCAGGGATCTCGGGAACCGGGGGAGATGTTGCCACGGAAGCTGAAGCGGGTCCTCCGGCAAGAGTTCTGGGTGCCCTTTGAGACCTTGCTGGTGCAAGGTACAGAGGTAGGGCCTACTCCCTCCCTGTGCACTGAGCCCTGTGGATTGAGCCCCTGCATGCCTGGAATCCTTAGGCAGGGCTCTGATGCCTACTTCTTTATAGGACCCTCCACCCTCCTTAGCCAGACTCTCTGCACAAAGATATGTGCGTTCCTGATGGACTGGGGCCATGAGCAGTCTATGACCTGCTTTTTCTCAGCAGCTGAGATGCTGTATAGTCCAGATTTACAAGTTCATCTCTGTGTCCGTCGGGACTAATGTATTGCCGCCTATACTGTGACCAGTGTCAACAGCCCTCTGGGGGTGGTCCAGCTGTTCTGTGTCTAAGAAACAAGAGTGGTGGCTGGTGGCACCCGCTGTTTCCTAAGAAGTCCCACAGTATTGGATGGTATCATCGGCACAGTGCCTCCCTGGACACCACTGCCTTCTCTCTTACAATTTAAAACGTAATTTCTTTTCTTACCAGAGTAAAATTCATATCACATGAGTCTGGAGTAACTCCATGGATAAACATGGACACCCAGGAACAAGGCTGCGATGCCTGAACCTCACCCTCTTTGAGAAATCCCAGGCTATCCCCCTTCCCCTGGAGACTGTTTAAATTTCCTGGGATCTCTCCTTAGCCCCTCTAGGGAGCTGACAAGAGACTTCGTCTAGAATGAGCAATTCCCTCACATTGATAAACTGCTAATACTCTGTGGCCACCATCCCTATCTAGTTCCAACATCTCATCCCCCCAAAAGAAGCCCCTGTGCCCTGGGGTACCATCTGCCTTTATTTCTAGGATTGCTGTTCTGAACTCTCATTTTGAGTGTGGTGTGTAGCAGTGACCTTTGCTGTCTGGGTTTTCCCTGAGCAGAATCCTTGAGGATGAGCCTCTGGATTCCCAGTGCAGGCAGCAGCATCCTATGCTTGACTTGTGTCAGAGGCTAGTCGTGGGGTCAGGAGGTTGTGGGGCCTGAGACTGATCAGGAAGAAAGCATGTACTGGGCAGCCTCAATCATGGGGAGGCACGGGGAGGCAGGTCAGGGGCTGAACAGGATGGCTAGCCATGTTCAGACCCTGCCCCAGGAGGCACTGTGGATCTGAGCTCTTCCATGGTGGCCTGGGGAGTCAGGGTCCCATCACTGGGGGCCTGATAACTCACCCCTGTCCTGGCCTCCAGGTGTACAAAGGGTATGTGGATGACCCAAGGAACACAGACAATGCCTGGATTGAGACAGTGGCCATCAGCATCCATTTCCAGGGCCAGAATGATGTGGAGCTGAAGAGTCTGGAAGAGGTATGAGGCCAGCCTCCAGGTGCTGATGCTCTGGACACATCTCAGGGCCTTCTCAGTAGTTGGTCTGCCTGGGGGTCTTGACAGAGCTGCCCATGGGTAGGGAGCTGAGGCAGGTGCTCATCACAGAGGGACCAAAGGGGCACCAGGGAGAGGCAGTAGGAGCCTGTACTCAGGTGGTTTGGTGAGGAGATACATTAGTTATTTTTCTGTGTATTAGTTATATTGCTGTGACCAAATACTTGAGAAAAAGCAATGTAAGGGTTAGGGTCTACCTTGGCTCGCAGTGACCATGGCTGGGAAAGTCACGGCAGCAGGAGCATGGACCAGCTGGTCACATTGCATCTGTGGTCAGGAAGTAGGATGCTGGTCCTCAGCTCAACCTCCCCTTTTTATGTATCCCAGGACCTCATCTCAGGGAATGGTGCCATCCACATCCAGAGAGGTTCTTACCCTCCCCCTTTAGTTAATCCAATCTAGACATCCTCTCATGGACTTGCCTGGGGATCTGTCTCCGAGGTGATTCTGGATCTTGTCAAGTTGACAGTCAATATTAACCGCCACAGGGGGACTTGAGGACCATGCCCAGAGAGGCTGGCATGGCCTCTTCTACTCCCTGTGCCCTCTTTACAGGACATTTGTCCACTGGCACTGAGAACAGTTCCTTCCCACTGCTGATTTAGAACCAGGGTGGGAGAGTCCCACCCTGTGAAATCCAGGTTGTCCTGGCAGGCTAAAGGCCTCTGAGTCAGGTCACATCTCCTTCATTCATTTTGGCCTCTGGTGCCCAGCAGGGCCAGCTCAGGCACCCAGAGCAGGTGATCTTGTGTCATACAGTAAAGCTGGCTATGGGTGGGAGGCAATATCATAGGCTGCGCTGGCCCCTGCCGCCTGAGGATTCAGGTTGCTGGGTGGACACAGGCTGTTTGTCCTTGCAGAACCTGCGCACCCACGACCCAAAGGAGTCAACCCGCGGCCTGCAGATGTCTACTGAATGGCAGGTGGTGGATCGGCGCATCCCCCTGTACGCAAACCACAAGACCATCCTCCAAAAGGTGGCCTCGCTGTTTGGAGCTCACTTCTGACTGTGGCTTCTGGTGGAACTAGCTCCAGGGGCAGGCATGGCTAGCCACCAATGTTCCCCAACACCACTTGGGCTGCTTTACCTTGGTCTGGGTGGCAGACTAGGGTACTGGGTTGGGGTGGTAGGTAGTGGTGCTGGGTTGGGGTGACCACAGGATCTTAACAAGTCCCCAGAGGTGCTGTCCTGAAAGCCACCTCTGCTACAACAGGATTACGGATGAGGACAGAGTGTATTCAGCGGCTCCCGGTGCCTGTGTCCTCAGGTACCACTGACTTGACCTTGGCTTTATGGGGCCCTGTCCAGCCAGATGCTGCCATTACCCATAATCCTGACTGGAAGAGCTACCTCTGGGGCAGGTGCTATCTCCTGGAGGGACTTCTATCCTCATTGTGGGAGCCTTCTACCCTAGGCAGAAGGCAGATAGAGGCTGGATCTCCTTCAGGAAGAGACACTGTCCTCATGATTCCTGGCCGGTGCTGGGTCACAGGCACTGGGGAGGCAGTGAGGACTTTGATATAAATGATTGTCATCCCTAGACTTTAGAAAGCACTCAAGCAGGGCATCCCCCAGCTCCAGCTGACCTGCTGGATACAGGAAGTATCAGAAGAAGACAGTGCATCCTGTCACAGCCTCTAGAGGAATGTACCATTCTCTGACAGGGTGACCTATGACTCAGGGATTGGTACTGACTACAAGACCAACTCTGCAGCCAGGGTAGGGGTGGGCAATGCTGAGGTTTAATGGGATGGGACAATAAAGGACTGGTATGATCAGTCTATCTAAAAATTAATCTTTCCGGGCAGTGGTGGCGCACGCCTTTAATCCCACAGTTTGGGAGGCAGAGCCAGGCGGATCTCTGTGAGTTCGAGGCCAGCCTGGGCTACAGAGCGAGTTTCAGGACAGGTTCCAAAGCCACAGAGAAACCCTGCTCGAAAACAAACAACAAACAAAAAAAGATAAATAAAATAAAAAAATAAAAATTAATCTCGAAAAAGCCCAGGACTCAACTTGGACCACTGGGAACAAAGGAAAGCATGTGAACTCTAAGGCGTGCGTGCAGGGCGGGAAGGGGGGTGTCTCCCAGTAGACTGGAGGACACATGCTGAGCTGGCATGAACCAGTGGAGGCAGCCTGGTTCCCAGGAAAGAAGCCTAGATGCCCAGAAGGAGGTGGTCTGATTGACATTTCCTGCCAAGCAACACAAGTCTTGGGTCTCTGGGAAGCAACAGGTAGCCCAGTGAGGGCAACCGCATGGCTCCAACCTGAGAGGACACAGTCCTGGGGGTGGGGGGGTGTCCTTTTCCCAGTTCAGTCTTCAAAACAATGCAGAAAGTCAGGAAGTCTGGAGGATTCAGGAAGCCCTGGAGATCCAGGAATCCTGGGAAATCTAGGGATTCTGGGAGAAACAAGGATTCCAGCGGTACAAAGGAGGAGGCTCTGTCTGGCCCACGCTGTTGAGAACCCGTATCTTAAAAACGACTGGCTCTGCCCTGGCTGTGTCCCTGTGTCCTGAGATTGAGCCATTGCACGTGCTGATGGCATGATGGCACAAGGCTGGGTGTGGAGCGAGCATATGGGAGCAGAACAAACCAATCACATGTCCACCAGCTGAGAGATGCAGGCCATTGTTCCCTTCAAGGGTACCTCCACAATGACCTGAGATCCCCCCCCATTGAGTCCCACCTCCCAAAGGTTCCACCTCCTTCCAGAAGTACCATGCTAGGGACCAAGCCTCCAATGTTCAAGTTATGGGCCCAAATGCCTAGTCCAATGCCGGAGATGAGGAAACAAAGATGTGTTGAGGGGTTCCTTAGAGCCCTTCTCCCTCCCAGTCGTTCTTTAAACCAAGACAGCAGTGCCAGGAGACACCAGAGGCCAACCAGCTGCAGTCTAGCTGCAATGCTGACTCAGTTTCTTTGGATTTCCCATAGCTGTCTTTTGTCTTAGGAGCCCATCGCTGAGGTAGACCAGTTGTCACTGACTGCTTAGCTTTCTCCATCTGCATCAGTGATGCAGACTTCTGCTGTCTGTAGTGATCTTTTCATCCCTGAGCACTCTGTCATTCTGGACAGTGTGGTTGAGCATGTCTGCTGTCTTCTCACAGCTGTATGAAGGGAGTCACTGGGCAGGACATCACCAGAGCAGGCCTTGTATGCTTCTCGATGGGTAGCTACCGTCTGTCTGATCACTAAAGACATATCCCCTGTGTGATGACTAGTCATTATAAACTTGGCCGGACTTAGAATCATCTAGAAGACTGAAGAACAACTCTAGACATGTCTGTGAGAGTGTTTCTAGAGGAGTTTAAATGAGACAGGAAGACCCACCTCATTTAAATGGGTAAAGGTGACACCATCCCATGGGCTGGGGCCTTAGGTAGAATAATAGAGGAGGAAGGAAAAAGGCAGCTGAATGCCATCAGTCAGTCATTTTGCTTCCTGGTCCTCTAAGATGGGAGTAAGCGAGTCTTGAGCAAATCCTGCCTTCCAGGCTGTGGACGGGCACCTGCTGTCTTCCCCACCAGGACAGCAGCCTCAAACTATTAACCGGAACAAATCCTCCTGTAAGTCGCTTGTCAAATTGTTCAGCAATGGGAAGAGCAACCAGCACAGCTGGCCACACAGATGTGCTTTCTCCGCTGTAGAGTTATTGTTTTTTCCCCTCTGGAGTTGATTGGTTTCGAGCACTGCATCGACACTGTGGGACCCTGAAGGAAGTGGCTTGAAATGGAAAGTCCCCTTATGTGATGAGGAAGGACGGATGGGAACGTCCTACCCTCACTCGACCAAAAGGAAGCTGGCCTGGCTGTATTAACAGAAGACAAGGGGGATTTCTAGGGATCCACAGGACCAATTCACAGCGACAGTAGGGTCAGTTAGTCAAGAACACACGGGGTCACAACATGAGGGTTCAACATGAGCGGAGCAGACACTGGGGGGTCTGGGGAGACAGTTCGGTTGGTAACGTGCTTGCTGCATGAGCATGAGAAACTGAGTTCAGACTCCAGCACCCATGTCAAAAGAGCCAGGCACAGCATCGTGGGCCTGTGGTCTCAGTGCTGGGGAGGTGGAGGCAGGAGGATTCCTGGGGCTTGCTGGCCAGCTGGACTAGCCACATTGGTGAGCACTGGGTTAAGTGAGAGACACTGTCTCAAAAACTAAGGTGGAGACTGAGGAAGACACGCAAGATCAACTTCCTGCAGAACACGTGTATACATGTGTGTTCATACACACACATTCATGTAATCATACATATACCCACAGATACAAACACACACACACACACACACACACACACACACACACACACACACACGGAAAGTAGACTAGTCTATACGTTTTTTAAAATTTATTTTTTTTAACATTTTATTTTAGTTGGGTGGTGGTGGCGCATGCCCTTACTCCCAGCACTCAGGAGGCAGAGGCAGGTGGATCTCTGAGTTCAAGTCCAGCCTGGTCTACAGAGAAAGTTCCAGGATAACCAGAGCTACACAGAGAAACTTGTCTAAAAAAAAACAAAAAAAAAAAAAACAAAAAACAAAAAACCAAATCAAACAAAAAATATTATTGTGGTGTGTGTGTGTGTGTGTGTGTGTGTGTGTGTGTGTGTGTGTGCACCACAGCACACATGTGGAGGTCAGAGGACAACTGTAGAGTCAGTGCTCTCCTACTTTTGGGGGATTCTGGGACTCGAACTCAGACTATCAGGCTTCAGTAGGTGCCGTCATCAGCTGAGCCATCTTTATGGCCCTAATTTACAGTTATAACTAGGGATTCAATCCCCACATATTGGTCACTTTTAGAGCAAGCAGGTGAGTTGGTAATTCCAGAAGCTTCTCTGCAATATAGCCAGCAGTCTCCATCCCAGATACAGAACACCCCACTGAGCAGAGAACGGTAATTGGAGTGCATGCAAGCCATCTCCAGATTCTGGACCATAAATGGGTCTCAGTATTATGAAGAGGTCATAAAACATAAAATATAAACATAAAATATATCTTCTGACAATGGATAAAGTTAGCAATAAAAAAAAACATTGCTGGAAATTTTCCAAACATCTGGAATTTGAATGACATACGGTTAAATTCATGGGACAAACAAGAAATGGAGAGGCTGATGAGATGGCTCAGTGGGAAGGGCATGCTTGCAGCCAAGCCTGAGGACCCAAGTTTGACCCCTAGGACTCACAGGGTGGAGAGAGAGAACCAACTTCTCCAAGTTGTCCTCGGACCTCCACACACGTGGGTGGCATTGGCCTGACCACACAAACACAAAATAAATATTTATTTTAAAAAGTAGAATGAGAGGTTATAGAGTATTTTAAACTTGGTGATAATTAAAAAAAAAAAAAAACCCAAAGTTCTGGGATGCAGCTGAAACCAGATGAGAGGGCGTGCCTGTGCTGGAGAAGGAAGCAGCGCCCGGAGCGCAGCCTCTAGCCGAGGAAACCAGAAAACGAAGAGGGGATTAAACACGTGCAAGCAGAGGACAGAAGAAAGTCCAGAGTGGAAATCCACGGGGAAAAGTGAGACAGCGGAGAAGCCACTTTAACCCACAAGCTGTTGTTCTGAGTTGATCAACAGTCAACCGATACATGCCTATCCTGGATTCTCAGAGAGGAAGCGCAGGGCACTGGAGAAGCCGTACAAGAGAACAGTATGGCCAATCACTCACATTTCATGGACTCTGAAAAGGTCATAGGGGTGCGTTATGAACTCATGTCTGTGACAGCTTGGATGAGATGTCACTTTCTTGAGTGACACAAAACATTAGGCTAAAGGGGAAGACTCGGCATTTGTAAACATGGTAAATGATTTAACTGCATACAAAGACGATGACATCAGCAGCAAGTGGGCTTTCTCCCCAAACAGAGGCCAATTTAACACAGGAGATCAATTGCTATAATCCCGTGTTAACAGACCTTCAAAAACAAAATCCAACCTCCACTCTTGATTTAAAAAATATTCTCAGCAAACTAGAGAAGGATGGTCCTCTCAACATCCAGACAAAATGGGCTGTCCATATACCATGCCTCATACCAGGTATCCAGATTAACTCTAAACCCAGATCTGTACCTCTATAAAACCCCATGGCTTTACCTCAGGCAAAGGCATCTTATATATGACACACAAAATCATAATCCTCCAAAGAAAGAAAATCACTGTTAGACTCCCTCAAAATTACAACCCAACTGCGGGAAAAACTGTGGGAAGAATGGAGATCAGTCCACACAGACTGAGGAACAATATTTACAAACCATGTGCCTGAGAAGGATGTTTCCAAAGAACTCTCCCAACTCAAAATCAAGGAAAACAAACAACCCAGCTAAAAGCAGAGTGATGGAGCAGACAGGAAACAGACCACACCATGAACCTCTGGGGTGACACAGACCCACACCACAGGTCACGCCAACACTCCACACCCCGATTGTCTCCAATGAGAGACACTGGCTCATCATTTGGTATGACAGAGGAACCAGAAGTCAGTCATGCTCCAGCCACTGCCCTTCAGGGTATTCATTCAAGGCTGCTGCTCCACAGTGCTTCATGGCCCTTCTGTTAGAGCCCCAAAACCAGGCCGGACCTGAACAGGTAAGCAGACCAGAAACTGGCACACCGGACCTAGGGAGACCCACAGCCCCAAGAGCCACTCCTCAAAATAAGGAGTCTGAAAGAACCTGTGTGGTGGGAGGCCATTGTGGAAAATGCAGACTCCACTGTCCAAAGAAGGCAGGTGACAAAGGGAGACTGAGGTCCTCCTGAGGCCGGTGGTGATAGGTTTGGAGCTGAGG